CGATACAATGACCTTGTCAGCAAATACAATTTATCAATGAGTCAAATCTTGACTGACCTTTTTCATACTTATTGTTAGTCCATTATTCATACACTGAATTGACGACGGATTTTCCCGTTACATTGTATTTCCCGATGTTTTGGAGGTCCGTGTTTGCTCTGCTCCTATTTTGTATTGTTCTATGGACTTTTGATCTTGAATATTAATCGTTATCTCCATGTTCCGTAGGAGAATATGAACCATGCCATTCTTGGTACACTTGGGTGTAACCGTTACTTAATGACTGCATCATTTTCAAAACCGCTGAAACTTTCACAAAATCTTTATTATATGCATACTGCCATTTCCTATTTTACGTTTTGATTTGACAGATATATATTTTCTATGTTTCCTATATTAAAACACTAAATTCTCTATTCTTGAGAGACAGTTTAAAAAAAAATCTCACTAAGTTTGGTTGTAGTTTGCTTGTGACGATCTACGCATATGACCAGAAAGCGCAGCTGGGATAACATGATGAAAGACTTCATAGCATTTTAAATGTTACCGTTATTCACCTCAAACTATTTTAAACAGAAATATGTAACCGAGATCTTTGTGACATTTTCACAATGTAAAGAAATGTATATCCGCGTAGATTGAAATGATAAGATACTGTCATTTCCATTTACAGTTACAACATTTCTTTACATACTCCTATATATTTTTAATTCTTCACATAAAACTGTGCACTACAAAGACAATACAAATTAAAGGCCAGTTAGTTCCTTTTGGTTCGTAAATGGGAACTATGGTCCCCGAAATAATCGACCCAGGCTTTAAATAACCATCAAAACAGGGTATCTTTATACATTGACGTCATATGGGTGTGATGGCGAGGGTGTTTAGTCTGTATAAATACAGATACATCCTAATCTTTTTCTGCATATCCAAAAAGATTCTAATTTGATTTTTATACACGTGGAGAATGGGAAAACAAACAGTAAAAAATAAACCGTCTTTACAGAAATCAGAGAAAGATGCAGGAAAGGTTACCAAATCATCATCACCAGTTGTTAACGTAAAGCATGGCGAAGGGAGCGGATCGTGTTCGGTTAGAAACTCCGGGATACCGCCAGTCAAAACAGTGGAGAGCATCAAATCATTGGACATCCAGAAAAGTGTACCAGAACCGCAACCTTATGTGTCAACAGACGATTTAAAACTTTATTATTTTGGATCAAAAACGTATGAAAGAAATGAAAAACCGAAGATAAGTCCATCTGTATCCAAACGTCAGAGTGGACATACACCCAAAAAGGTCAGCCTAGCCTCGGGAAAAAGTAGAATTACCCAGAAACGTACAGGAGACTCTAAAGAATCCAGTTCAGTGACCGAAATAAGCACAGACGATCTCACAGCTTCTGCTCAGTTGTGGACTGATTTTTATGACAGTTTGTAGAGTAATTTTCATGTGATACTGTGAATTTATTTGCTTCTCATACAAATATTCATTATTTGGTGAGGTAGAAATCTGATGCAAGTGTATGAAAACGCAAAATGTAAGAATGGGTGATGATAACTTTAATTTTGACATTGATGTTCAGTTTATATACCATGTCCAAACTTTTTTCTTTTGTCTCACTGAATGTAAAATACAAAATTTTGTTTGTTTCGTTGTTTGTTGCATTTGACGCTGTTTGAGGTGCATATCCACCCGTCCTACTACAAATCATTTGCTTTGATAAACATACATGATTTTAGTTGAAAGTTCTCATATGAACACAGGGGATATCCATGTTTAAAGACAAAAACGAATTGCACTACAAACCTTGTACTATCGTAATGTTGTTTCATTTATAAATGCATAATTCAGGATGAATTTTAAATAAATACATAATTCAAGATGAATTTTATTAGCCGCGTTCGCTTTACGAAAAGATTGTTTGGAATGTTAGTACAATTCTCCGTTAACCGTGGACTTTCAATAAGGTGTGGTATTCTCGACGTTACATAATTAGCGTCTGGAATTTACACAGCCTTTCATTCACTGTTGAAATATACATGGGATAGAAATGCGGGCGAATGTCAACAAGTGTAGCAATGATCCAATGACAGCGTTTCGTATGGCAAAGAGGTGGGGCTTAAGTCGTTTCATCTGTGTCAACAACAATTAAAAGTTGCTATTGTTACTTTAAATTTCTTAACTCGCCATTTGAGAGACGTCAAGAATGACACGCCCACTGAAAGTCCAAGGATGACAGAGGATTGTACTAAAGTTTTTTTCCTATATAAAAAGGAGACAAACTTTTCGCAAAGAATTGCATGGATCCTCTTTAATACGAAATCATAGATGTCTTCCATTACAATTTTGTTCTATATTCCATGCATATAAAATGCAGCTATTTGCATTAAGGTTGTCTTATCATCAGGTTCCAAAAATCAGGTCTTCAATAAATGAAAATACTCACAAAAATCTTCAAACATTATAGTTATAATCATATTATAAAGGGAAACTCAGCAAATCTGAAACAACTTCTATGCAAGTCAAACTCTAAAGTTAAGGTCAAAATCCCCAGTACTTCTGGTTCAAAAGTCATGGTCAAGGTTAATTTTTTTAAAAGTGGGTCAAACTCTGAGGTCAAGGTCAAAGGGTAGAATAAAAATAATTTGAAAGCTTAAGGCTTAATTGTCAGAAGGAATACATCTGTGAAATATGAAAACCAAAACCCCATCCAATCAAAAGTTGTGTCCAAGGTTAAAGTTGTTGCTGACAGACAGACGATCAGACAAGGAAACAACTACATATACTCGAATCTTCAATTATGGGGGATATTGAAGAAAATTGCAAAATCGCTGAAAGCTGAAATCGGCATATCTAATCACGAGGATCCGAGGGTAGTTGCCGAATGGGAGTCAAGGCCAATTAAGTGACCTTAATAAGTCTGAATTCCCCTATCACTATGATCCGCGATTGCAATTATTGCATGCATCATTCCATTTTGATATTTCTAACAAAAAATTCTTTCTTGTTACAACAGGTTTAAAAAGAATATTTTCCAAACAAATAAAACGCTTGATTTCAAAACCATAAAAACATCACTTATCCCAAAACTTTGAATTAAGAATTGAACACAAGAAACAGAATACTTCATGATTTTGCATGCATATGTTCTACATGTAAGTGTCCAAGGCATTCATACTCATTTTTAACAGTTTCTTTTAAAAGGTAGTAAACAATGGCTGTTATTGTTTTCTTTTACTAAAATTCTCGAAAAAAATAATCTATTGAGATATGTTTGTTTATAAGTAAAATATGAAGTCATCATCGACGTGTTGCATACTATTTCATTTCATTTCATTTTAGGCGCACTTGATTTGTCTACACCTTACACCCGGTGTACACTTTTTCATAATCAAGTGCAAAAGTGTACACTTTAGGTGTACACCTTCTACACCCTGTGCAGGGCATGTGTTGGTAATTACACCTAAAATTCAATATGGCTGACAAATGAAGCAACGGTAAAACTGCAGAATTTCTTTTTCTGTATTTGAGTTTACTGTCAAGTATTTTATAGGTTCATTGTGATGAATTGTTTTTAGTAATATAGTGGACCATGTTTTGTGCATTTTATGGAAAATAAAATACTTCAAGCATCCAATCACAAGGTTTCGATTCGTACTACAAAGAGGTGGGGCTTAATTTTTTAACCAATAAGCATAGGCGTCGGAACCGGGGGGGGGGGGGGGGGCTAGCGGGGAATTAACCCCCCTTTTTGTAAAGATAGGCATCATATAGGCATTGAAAATTAGGGTTTACCTTTTTTTTGTTGGTTAAGCCCCCTCCCCTTCTTTTCAATTAGCCCCCCCCGGGTGCGTCGACTTACCCAAAAGGAATACAGATGGACCCAAATGGAAACAAATGAACCCAAATGGAAACACAATGGACCCAAATGGAATATTTAATATATCTTTTATCGTATTCTCAAGTTGTAACTTATCTAAAATATTGAAGAAATTTATATTATTGATTTCTTAAATTGTATTTAATTTTTTTTCTGATTGTAATGATTTTTGTACATCATTGAGCACAAAATTGAAGAACATGTATACAGTTTCCGTGGCTTTAGGAACCGAGCGGGGTTGGTTGGGAGTCCGTGTACGTGGGAGGGGGGGGGGTGAAGGAGAGACCATGCCCCCATCCATCCCAATAATTTTGCAGATATATAGAAAACTACAAAAAATAATTCGTATAAAGTACAATGTTAGAAATAAATAATCAATAAATTCATTTCATTATTCTAAATAAGTAACAATTCATGTTTGATATTCCATTTGGTTTCCATTTGGGTCCATTGTATTTCCATTTGGGTCCATTTGTTTCCATTTGGGTAAATCGACGTGCCCCCCCCCCCTTTCAATTTGCTTCCGACGCCTATGGGATGAGAGAGACGCTAATTACCTAGCTTCGAAAATGCCACGCCTCATTGAAAAACCAAGGATGGCAGAGGATTTTTACCAATAAACATCGGTATCTATAGACTCTATAGGGTACAAATGTCAACTTTAAAAGATAATTTCTAAGACTTCGATAAAAATTGAAACTTTTTTTATAAGATAATTTCTAAGACTTCAATAAAAATTGAAACCCATTTAGATGCATAAAATGAAAATTTTTGCATGTAAAAGATTTCAGTTTCAAGCTCCATTTCAAATTTGAGACTTTTTGAATTAGATAATGAATTAAAGAGAATTAAAGATCCTTCTTGGATGAGAAGCGGATGTAAATTTTTTTTTTTTAATTTGGGAACGAAATACATGTATTTCATGTTAATTAACATTAATTATTTTTTTTTAATGAAAATGAATTCAAAAATCATATTTAAGGCGTTTTTTAACTTTCAGACATTTTCCTTTGTGAATTATGCTGTTCAACTGGCAGATTTTTTTCCACGTTATATATATACCTTGTTGTCTGAAGATGTCATTTCGTCTTTTCCGTTTTATCCGAGTTGAAAAATACATTCACTTTAACATAAATATACTTCCGGTTAAATTGAAAACAGAAAAAATCCGGCGGCATGGCTGATGTTTTAGATTTGCATGAAATTGAGGAGGGTGGAGATGAATTTGAAGTTGACGAAGAAGGAGATCGTAAGCCAAATTCATCAAAATATACTTGCCCATTTAAGTTTACGGTTAAAATGAAACGGGAAACTGAAACTTATTTTTTTTGTGGGTGACGCCAAAATCGATGGCTTTAAATATACAAAGCTTTTCACATGTGACAGTGTTTAATTAAATTCTAAGCCTTTTGTTTTTCACAATCCTTTTACTTACTCAGTGGATTATTTCCTTATCTACACATTATATATGAATATGAATTAGATCCACCAGAATTTCCTCAGTATGTAATTCAAAAACCAACACTGCATCAGTAGCCATTACAGAAATTGAAGTTTGAACACACACTGTTTAATTTATTACCCTGTACACACGATGAGATAAATTCACATCATATTGTTAGTAATTTCAGTTAAGTGTGAAGTTTTGCATTACGTCTCAACCTATGATGACAGCTGCGCTCAAGGTAATATAGTCAGGGTTCGACACTAACATTTTTAGGCTTTGGTCCGGTCGGACAAGTGCTTCTCTACTTTTACTAGTCCGCCCGCAATTTTATGAGTCCATCAAAAATAAAAATAAATAAATAGAATTATTTAAAAGTTGCAATGTACTTTTTTGAAATAAACAAAGCATTTACATGAAATGTTTATACCAAGAATTCGTTGAAATCGCACAATCAGGAACTACAATCGTATTCCCGATCTCTTTCGTTTTTCTCTATACATGATTACATCATCTAGACATCCGACATATTTCTTTATGTGTCATACTAAATCATGATTGCTAAAATGTTTAATTTCATACAAATGAGTCCTAAAATTAAGGGCTGAATTGACTCAGAATTACCTAACTTCCCGCCAAGAATCTAGAAAGCTAAAAATATATACGGGGTTTTCCAGTGAAAGTTGTCGAAAATTTGAACATGGGCATGAATTCTTTTTTTTTCCCCCAGAAAACTTTATTAGTCCATTCGGACTAATTAGCCACAATTTTTATTAGTCGGAATGAAAATGTATTAGTCTGAGACTAACAGACTAACGTTAATGTCGAACCCTGATAGTATACGCCTCCTAACCGCAAGCTTTATGACTGGAAGTTTCTTCTAATCCCTGCTCATGCAACAGACTGTTTCCATGTCAATGTTGATAATATGAGTTGACCAATCACACAGCAGCGGCTGAATTGTTAACACTGAATGCATCTGTCGAAAAAGAGTGTGTTGTAATGCAAAACTTCACAATTAACTGAAATTACTAGTAATGTGAAGTAAACTAAGGCCAAAAATAAAAATAGTCTTGTTTCCTGCTACCCGACCTACCCTATTTTTTTGCACCCGACCCTAAAGTTTTTATTTAGTTTTTGAGGGAAAATCGAAAATTTCATGATCAAAAAGTGAAAAAAATATACATTCAAGTGGTATTTCATGAAATACGAGGGTGATCCAAAAGTAATGTCACTGTGTCAATATCTTTAATATTTGGCGTCATATTATCAAATATCATATATCAAAAGATGCATAAAAATAAATCTAATCAAATTTGAAATTTTCATTGAATAATGTTGAATTGAATTAATTTTATAGACGTTTAAAATATTAAACATAGGGGGTGTCGCCGCGTCACAACTAAACGTCACGTTTGAAAGTGTAATTTGTTAATTTAAAAATGAGGAATGACAAACTCATGAAAAAGCATCTAAAAAAAGCGTCTAATCGCCTAATATTTTAAAAGACAAAATTATTTTTCGACATTTACTAGTCCTAAGTTGAAAATAAAATGACGTCATTTCTTTCTGATCATAAACATTGTAGTTTTAATCTGCTGTATTAACAAAGGAATTGTCGAAAGTGTTGAAACGCTGAAACAAACTGTGATGCATTTTTGCTAAGAAATGGGGAAATCGCCCGTAGAAACAGTTACGATGATTAATCAGACATACAGAGGAGAGAATGTAAATAAAAGACTTGTTTATAGATGTTTTCAGAGATTTTGGACGGGTCATGGGTAACTGAATGGATAGAACGGCCGAAAAGGGGAAGTCAGGCGGAAACGTTCAATGGTGTTTGACGTTGTCCAAAAAGAGAGACATTTAGACAGTTACAGCAATATGAAAAACTGAAAGAATGTCTTATGGTACTGTTAAAAAATTTTGACAGAGGACTAAATTATATATAGATTGATTACAATGGGTGCCAATAATTCTTAGAAAAAAAGAGAGATATATGTGAATGTGTTCATGAATCTCAAATTTTTTTAATGAAACGAAGGGGTATCGTTCAAGTGTACGACGTTGCATATCCACCATATGACGTTATTTAGGTGCGGCGACTACCATTAGTGCACTTTGTATATAATTCAATATTTTGAACAACATACATCACTTTGATTTGAATTTTTCAGGACTGATTTGTTTTAAACATAGCTTCGATCTTGTATAATTTCATTGATTTACGTCGACTAGTAGCAATTTTATCGTGGTTGTGACATTACTTTTGGATCAACCCTCGTATATATGTTTTAAATATGGACTTGCAAGAAACACTACTTATTAATAATATTTTAAATTATAATATTGACCAATGACATGTTTAATTTGGTTTTGTAAAAGCTCATATCCAACAAATACCATTGGAAAAAAATAAAATAATATAAAAAAATAAAATAATTTTCCGACCTACCTACCCTATTTTTTTCAGGCTGGTAGCAGGAAACAAGACTATTATTTTTTTTGGCCTAATGCAAACTGAATTGCGTTCACTTGACAGCTAAATCAAAGTAAACTAATGGAAATGCAAATTAAATTTTTTATTTCTACAATATGGCTTTTCAATAAGGCTATTATGCTGTCATTTGTAAATCATCTCATATATATGCAGAGCAGATCCATTTGCGATTTGACATAATAATCATAGTGAATGTATACACTATACACAGTGATTTGGAAGGGCTTGCACATGCGCCATAGTCGCATTGAAGCGAAAAATGGCGCATTAAAACAATCAATCATGGCGCCAAGGTGCGCATTCAATTTTTAGTGATGTTAATTGGAAATATTTTGCGTACAACTTTCTTTCTTGTCTTACTTTCATTTTAAATGCAGTCAATTTAAAACAACAAATCTTATTGGTTGAAACCTGTCAAAAAGTACTTCCGGTTAAACAAAGCGATACTTCATTCATCAATCTCTACCCAGAGTTATCGTTCCACTTATATGATAGCGAAGCGAATGACAACTCTGGGTAGAGATTGTTCATTCATTTGTATGGTAGGACTGTTCCGTTTCCAAAACTGTCGTAATTTTAGCACAAAATTCAGTTATATTCTAAACAAGTTCCTTTAAATTTGCTGCATTTCATGCGTTAAAATCGGATTCGGTTAATTAAAAACATGTTTTCTGTCATATATCATATTTGTTTGTCACTTTGTTATTTCTTGAAATGGCCCTTCAGATTATATTGATGGCCCATTCATTTTCAAAATGGCCCATCAAAAATGTTGACAGTTGCGCCATAGTCCCATTGACCATTTTGGCCTTCCCAATCACTGTATACATCTTAGTAATTAACATAATTTTCCTTTATTTTCCAACAAAAAATAGCACAGATAACTAAATTTAATCACTGACATATGACCTTTGACTTAATTCAACCCTTTCACATGCATCAAAATTTAATTCAAGTTAGCTTAGCTTAGCATTCACATGGAGCTATTGCAGAGTAATTTAATCTGCAGTATTAAAACTTATTCACATTTAGGTCTGTGTGTGAATTCAGTTCAAATTTTATTCACAGTAACTATATATAACTTACATTTAATTCGAATTAAACTTCCTGTGTGAACAGGACATACCTGTATATTGTACATTAACTGTGAAGTAAAATTATATTTTTGACCTAATTCTTTTTTTTCAGAGGGTTTATTAAAGTTAAAAGAAAAAGCTAAGAAGCGGAAAGGAAGAGGATTTGGAGCAGGTCTGATGCCTTTGTTAAAAAATTATAATGTTGACGACATTGGTATATGACTAATCAGAGTGATGTTGAGCTGTAAATCTTGGAAATTTTGTTCTCTTTTTGAAATTTTAAAATTTGTAATAACTAAACGTTCACAGTATCTTGCTAAACAAACAAACATATGCATTGTGGTAAGTGTGCCTCATACATAATTAATATGTATACCAGTATGTATCTTTGAAAAGAAAATAAGCAAACAACATTACATTTTATATGTTGACATGTTTAATAGATGGGCCGACACGGAGTGGGGTAGAAGACTATGAAGCAATGGACATAGATGAAGAAGGAGGACCTGGTCCCCAAAGATGTAATTTTAATCAAATTAATAACAAATACAAAATAAATGTTTTAATAAATATTGATCACAGTTTAAGTATATATGTCATTTCCTTTCTTTTTAGCTGTAGAGGGGTGGATCCTATTTGTTACGGGTGTACATGAAGAGGCTCAAGAAGACGATGTTCACGACAAATTCGCTGATTATGGCACCATAAAAAATATTCACCTCAATCTCGACAGACGCACAGGTTTTTTAAAGGTGAACAAATCAAATGTGCAAGTTTGATGTCTTTCAGAAGTTTGTCTGCACATGCATGTATTTCTGTTTATTGAAATACATTTTATAGAAGGTTTTGATGTGATTTTCTTTAAATTAAAAATGAATAAAAAGAAAAGGTACTTATAGTATTTTGAAGTTATGTATAAATGTATAAGAGTGAAACTGTAAAACTGAAACTTGAAGAAACCAATACATGTATGCTATTGCTTTAAAACCTTCTGAATAAGAATGGAGTAGATTTTAAACTTGTATCTGATCATCAAAAAAATAAAGCATACTTATTTTTAGCTCACCTCAACGAAGTTGGGGGGAGCTTATGTGATACCCTCGGCGTCGGCGTCCCGGGTTAAGGTTAAGTTTTTTGGAGCAGTTTTCTTTTTAAGTACTTCTATGTCCTATATTGATTAGACATGCATGGAAGATGTTTCTAATGTGTTTCATTGTACCAGTCAAAGTTTCAGATGCTGCAATTTCAGCAAAGGAATGACCAGGTTAATGTTTTTGGTGCAGGTTAACATTTTTGGTGCAGTTTTTGGTGTAGGTCTCATTTCCGAGTAACTATAAGCCCTATGTTGACCAAACTTACATGGATGGTACATCTTAGGATGCATACTACCAGACTTGCTTCGGATGCTGAATCTGACCTACATTTTCCGGTTGAGTGAACAGGTTCAAGTTTTTGGTGCAGGTTTCATTTCGAAGATACCATGAGCCCTTTAATGACCAAACTTGCATGGATGGTACATCTTAGGATGCATTCTACTAGACTTGCTTCGGATGCTGAATCTGACCTACATTTTCCGGTTGAGTGAACAGGTTAAAATTTTTGGTGCAGGCTTCATTTCCAAGTTTCTATGAGACATATAATGACCAAACTTGCATGGATGGTGCATCTTAGGATGCATACTATCGGATGCTGAATCTGACCTTTGATGAACAGGATAAAGTTTTTGGTGCAGGTTTCATTTCCAAGTTACTATGAGACATAGAATGACCAAACTTGCATAAATGGTACATCTTAGGATGCATATTACAAGACTTTCTTCGGATGCTGAATCTGACCTACATTTTCCGGTTGAGTGAACAGGTGAAAATTTTTGGTGCAGGTTTCATTTCCAAGGTACTATGAACCATATAATGACTAAACTTGCCTGGATGGTACATCTTAGGATGCATACTACCAGATTTGCTTCGGATGCTGAATCTGACCTACATTTTCCGGTTGAGTAAACAGGTTAAAGTTTATGGTGCAGGATTCATTTCCAAGTAACTTTGAGCCCTATAATGACCAAACTTGCATGGATGGTACATAAGGGTGCATTCTACTAGGCTGGCTTCAGAAGCTGAATCTGACCTACATTTTCCGGATTAGTGAAAAGGTTAGTTTTTTATACAGGTTTCATTTCCAAGTAACTTTGAGCTCTATGTTGAACAAGATTGCATGGATGATACATCTTTGCACACTAATGGACTTGCTTCAGATGCTGAATTCGACATACATTTTCCAGATAATAGACCTCGTAAAAGTTATGGGTGCAGGTCTATCACCAAGAAACTATAAGGCTTATATAAACCAAAGTTGCACAAATGATGCATCAAGGGATGAAAACTCTCAATCTTGCTTCAGATGCTGGATTTTAATTACATTTTTAGCTCACCTGAGCCGAAGGCTCAAGTGAGCTTTTCTGATCACATTTTGTCCGCTGTCTGTCTGTCTGTCTGTCTGTCTGTCTGTCTGTAAACTTTTCACATTTTCGACTTCTTCTCAAGAACCGCTGGGCCAATTTCAACCAAACTTGCCACAAAGTATCCTTGGGTGAAGGGGATTCAAGTTTGTTCAAATGAAGGGCCACGCCCTTATTCAAGGGGAGATAATTGGGAATTAATGAAAATTTAGTGGTATATTTTAAAAATCTTCTTCTCAAGAACCACTGTGCCAGGAAAGATGAAACTTATGGGGAAACATCCTCAGGTAGTGTAGATTCAAATTTGTTCAAATCATGACCCCCGGGGGTAGGGCGGGGCCAAAATGGCCGACCAAAGTTTTACATAGAAATATATAGGAAAATTCTTTAAAAAATCTTCTTCTCAAGAATGACAAAGCCATAATTCATCATATTTATATGGGAGCATGCTCATGTAGTGTAGATTCAATTTTGTCCAAATCATGACCGCGGGGGGTAGGGTGGGGCCAAAATGGCCGACCAAAGTTTTACATAGAAATATATAGGAAAATTCTTTAAAAATCTTCTTCTCAAGAATGACAAAGCCATAATTCATCATATTTATATGGGAGCATGCTCATGTAGTGTAGATTCAATTTTGTCCAAATCATGACCGCGGGGGGTAGGGTGGGGCCAAAATGGCCGACCAAAGTTTTACATAGAAATATATAGGAAAATTCTTTAAAAATCTTCTTCTCAAGAATGGCAAAGCCATAATTCATCATATTTATATGGAAACATGCTCAGGTAGTGTAGATTCAATTTTGTTCAAATCATGACCCCGGGGGGTAGGGCGGGGCCAAAATCAAAGTTTTACATAGAAATATATAGGAAAATTCTTTAAAAATCTTCTTCTCAAGAATGACAAAGCCATAATTCATCAATTTATATGGAAGCATGCTCAGGTAGTGTAGATTCAATTTTGTTCAAATCATGACCCCGGGGGTAGGGCGGGGCCAAAATGGCCGACCAAAGTTTTACATAGAAATATATAGGAAAATTCTTTAAAAATCTTCTTCTCAAGAATGACAAAGCCATAATTCATCATATTTATATGGAAGCATGTTCAGGTAGTGTAGATTCAATTTTGTTCAAATCATGACCCCCGGGGGTAGGGCGGGGCCAAAATGGCCGACCAAAGTTTTACATAGAAATATATAGGAAAATTCTTTAAAAATCTTCTTCTCAATTATTTTCTAAAAAATAGCAAATCCATGATTGGTCATGGGACTACTTTTGGATTTAAACTTTACAGTAAAAAGCCATTTTATACTAGTCCTACCCTTGGTGCTCAGGTGAGCGATGTGGCCCATGGGCCTCTTGTCATGATGAAGAACTAGTTTTAAGTTTTTATGTAGGTCTATTCCAAAGTATCAAAATTGCATAAATTTTGCATTTTTGGATGTTGTACACTTTTTGTTGGTTAATTGTGTGAACTTAATTTGCCTTACTTAAAGACAACATTCGTTGAGGTGAGCTCTGTAATCTCTGATTACCTTTGTTTTTTTCACAGGGATATGCTCTTGTAGAATATGAAACCTTTAAAGAGGCGCAGTCAGCAATGGATGCATTAAATGGATCAGAAATCCTTGGCCAGAAGATCAATGTAGACTGGTGTTTTGTTCGTGGTCCTAGGAAAGGAAGGTGAGTGGCTCCCTCTGACAGCTTTACTTTATTTACATGGCCTCTAACTCTGCATATATTTGGATAGAAAACATATTTGGCAGACCAGTGTTGTTTTCTCCATTTCATACTAAAAGCATTATCATTTTAAATATTGCAAAATTCCAAACTTTGTATTCTCAAAGCAATTAATATTCCATTTTGTGATCTTGAAAGGTATACTGTAAATCACTATTTATTCGCGAGAACTTTAATTTCTCATAATTACGCGAGACAGTGTGCTTGCGTAAATTTAATTCTCGCGTATAATAGCATTCCTTATGATTATATAGAGCAATAACCACAATTCGTGAAAATTTTGTCTCGCTAATCAAGAGTCATTGACTATCTCGCGAAAATAAGGTGTTGCGAAAATTTAGTGATCTACAGTAGATTAAAGCAAACCAAATCATCAGTTTGAGAATACTTATGGAGAGATCTTTCAGAGGTGAAAACAGGACATGCAGCACAAAAGAGTGCAAATACCAAGGATTTGAAATCCCAAAGGACCCAAACCATCAACATTTATGTATTTTATCCTCAAAACCAGAATACGTTACTGACTTCTTCTTGACAAAGCTTGCTTTTGACCAATTTAGACTGCCCTATAAAGTTTTGTTGTTTTTTTTTCAGAGGGAGAAAAGATGGAAGAAGGCGGTGAAATACAAAAACTTTTTAGTGATTTGAGACTCTGCAGCTGCTCTCTTGTTGAGGACTGACATTTTCGCGTTTGTTTTTAGACATTAACTAGACTTGTGGGGCTGTCAAGAAACAGGCACACGTTGATTGTACAAATGTCGTATTGTGTAAAACACTTGAGCAGATATATCATTAATTTTAACAGAGATTGTTCATGTTCAAGTATTTTAAAATGTTACATGAAACTTAAAATGTATAAGTAATGTAGATTATTAATTGCAAATGGGGAATCATCATCTGTTCAAATATCGTCTTACTCATTTTTTACATGTAATTAAAAAAATGAAAAAAAACCCCTAATTTTGTTTTGTTCATTATTCAGTTGAAGAAGCACTGCAATAGGATTCCTCTAAGGATAGGCATGATGATAGGATATTGTATATTTATTTCCTCTAACATTGTTTTGTTTACTTTTCTACTTGCAATGGATGATTTATTTGCATCATATTTAGATTTACGAGCACTAAGTTATATTGGTAAAATGTGGTGTCAGAAAAACATGCTAAAAAAAAATGTTGAAAAATAGACTTCACTAAAGAACGTACATAAATTTTATATCCAGTTTAATGTGTGATCTAAGACCGGGGGACATAAACTGGATGTAAAACAAAAATTACTTATCAGAATATTATTTTATCCCAGGTGAAATTCATAATTTAAGTCCAGATAAAGCTTCAAGCCTGCTCCAAAAAAACTTTATCCTGGTGACTCATCTGGAAAATTGTAGGTCAAATCCAGAATCCGAAGCAACTCTAGCAGGATGTAATATTTGATGTATCATGCTAGTTTGTTTCAGATAGGCTATATGTATTTTTGGTAATGGACCTAAACTTCGATCTGATCACCCGTCCGGAAAATAAAAGCAAGCAATCGAAGCAAGTTGAGTACTCAGTAGCGTGCATCAATGAATGAGTTAACAGTGCAAGGTTGGTCAGCATACGGTGTATAGTTTCTAAAGAAGGACCATTTTTCAAAAAACTTAACCTGGTCATTCATCTGCAGACTGGAAAATGTAGAGAAAATTCGGTGTCGGAAGCAAGAAGCTTTTCCTCGTATAAAAACACTAATCTGGTCATTCTATGGCTAAAATGCAGTATCCAATACCTGATTGGTACAATAAAAACATATTAAAAGCATTATCAATTTATCTCTGATCAGCAAGGGCATAGAAGTATTTGAAAAGAAATATGCTCCAAAAACTCTAACCAACGGCACCAAGTGTAATTACATCTATAGAGCTCCTCGATATTTTTAAAAAAATTAATTATGATCCAAGCCATAGCTTCCGAAACACTGGAAGGTTGCTCTTCCTACAAGGATTTATCATGTGCTTTGACTTTAATCCAAGGTCATTGGGAGAAGTTCGAGGTCCATCACAAAAAAGTGTATAATCCGAGTCTATTTATCGTTAGAAATTGTCATACTTGGGGCAGTTTCTTTGACAAACACATTGATATTGACAAATAGTATTATCCTAGTTACTAAAAACAGAAAAATATGTCTTTCTAAATAAATGCCACTAATTTGTGGCTGCAAACAAGTTCATTATAACAACAAAAGAATTCAAAAAATGTTGACTATGAACAAAGTTGAAAACCTTAGAGAATCAACTTATTTATCAGTAGCATTCTTGAATTAAAAAACTGATTGCACTTGGAATATAATATGTGGAGAAAACATACACTTGTAACATACAGTATTCTGTCTCAGAAGTCCATTAAAGATTACAATTTGGGAGCAGGGCAAACACGGAACTCTAATAACATCAGAGGGGGATCAGGCGCCACGGAGGAGTGAGCATTCCCTGCCGATAGGTCACAATGTGCTTCTTGTCATGAACGGGAAATAACGTAAAAATCCATCAAAAATGCAGTGTACTGTAAACCAACTTTTATTCGCGACCACTTTATTTCGCAATTTACCAGGGATAAACAAGTTGGCGACGATTAATTTTCGCGATTAAGCCTTTTTGGATCTGTTGTTAAAGCAATATGAGCTGCAACTTTGATGTCGGAAATTCTTGTTGCAAAATTGTAGTTTACTATTTTAAGAAAACAGAAAAAGAATATTTATACACTATGTTACTTGTAGTAGCAATGTAAAAACTATTTTTAAGATGTGATTGAAGCAGAATTACATTATTGTCGTCCTGTACAATATTTGATTTCTTAAACAATCTTATACATTTTACTGTACAAAAGTCTTTCTTCTGAAACAGTTTGGTACTTTATTTTAGTCTTATTGATAATGAAGGTTTAAATTACATGAATATTTATCATAATTACACATTTAAACATCTAATTAAAATTATCAAAAATGCAGCTCATATTGCTTTAAGGACCGGTTTGCGACGAGAAATATTCGCGATGACGAGGCTCTCGCGAACTTTGCGAAAATTTCTCACACGCAAATAAATGTTGGTTTACAGTAATGGTTTAACCATTAATATGAATAACCTCAATCAGCATTTGACTTAGTTACATAATGTACGTACTGCTGACAAGTTCATAGTATCGATCATAGAATTTACAAAATGGTGACTTTAAACGAGACTTCTGATATTCTTGTTTCATCAACTTGTTTGTCAACAACTTACCTAGACTTAGAAATTGTTCATACGTAGAACATGCTTAAAGCAGCTTTTGCATATTGAATCAACTTAAACCCCGTATGCAGGTGATAAGGTTATTGCTGCATACGAAATGGAAGGTTACGATTAAAAAGTTGAATCCATCACGTTTATCATAAAGCTTGGTTGCTAGCTAGATTACTATTAAGTACACGTCTTTTTCTAGTAAAATATCCAAATTAATTATGTAAAATAAAACTAAAGATATTCAGAATCAAAATTTTGACTTAAGGTGGTTCTCTTTTCATAATTATGTTAAATAAAATTAAAGATATTCAGAATCAAAATTTTGACTTAAGTTGGTTCTCTTTTGGGATATATTTAGTCTACATAAGTACATGTATTGTTATATCTGGAACCCTAAGGGGTTGAACCAAAGCCATCAAAATTAATTTCATTAAATATTCTCTAGCCATGGACATCCATGAAACTGATTACATGATTATAATCAGCCATTCCATTCCTTCTACAATAATTGCAAAAATTCATGGTCCCTGAATCAAAATCCAGATTTAGGTTAAGTTGACTTTGTATTGAAAATGCACTACAATCATCAATCTTATTGCATCTCATCCTTTAGTTTACTTGAGGCAGACAATCCATATCATTTTACCTTGTTCACAAGGAAACCAGAATCACCATACTGATCGAGAATGCTACAAGACGAATCATGCACTCTCGTGTTCAAGTCCTAGGAAAATGAAATAAGAAAATCACTTCTTGCATATATGTGATTTAATCTACTTTATTTCAATATTTTAGGAATGAATCTCATTTTGCATGAAACAAATATCACAGACAAATCTTACAAATGTGTACAAATATACATACAAAAATTCCTTAATACTCTTAATTGAAAGTTCTTGTTAGGAGTATAATTTACCTATAATTCTCATACTTTAGTTCCAGGCTCAGGTGCTAGGGGACGGTGTTCCACCTGTGTTCCGTACCCCTAGGGTTCTTTGACTTTTTAAAAATAAAATACCGGGGGTAGTTTTCTATGTCATATTCACAAAGTATTACAACCGAAAAATCCTAAAGTTAAGCTAAAACTAGCCTTTACTAAAAATTCATACTATTTAATATTATCAGAGAGTTAGCTAGTTTTAGCTTAAAATTTTGGATATTTCAGTTGTAATACGCTGTGAATATGTCACAGAAAACTATTTTATTAAAAAAAGTCAAAGAATCTTTTGGGTACGGAACAAAGGGGGGGGGGGATCTGTCACCGAGCACCTGTTGTTGCTGATTGCTATTAGTTGTGTTATTTTCTGTCGTATGATTTATTATATTTTTGCGTAAAAGATAAACATTAGGCATACCTAACAATGTCATATTAATATATCACAATCTACTCTTTGCTTCAATCAAGCACTGTCGGAAATAAAATTCCTGTATAAATGTTAACACTTCTACCAATTACTTTTTATAAATGTATAAATTAATGCAATCCACTTAAGCGTTAAAAATCTTCCCAGTAGCAAATTAAATTAAAAAATATCAAGTACTATTTACAAAATAATTAATGAACATACTAGAGTGTTGTTTAAAAGTTAAAAATCATTATATTGAAATCATTTTCAATATTTTTTCTCATGTGACCGTATTCTAAAAGTTTGTTTGCTGATCAAAACAAATCTTAATCTAGAACGTACACGTATCATTTACAACACTTATTTTGACATATATGTGGTGGAATGCATATGTGTATCATGAGCATAATTTCAATACATGTATTTTTAAACATAATCATCTTATTTTATTCAAAACTGGCATCATTATTATGGCAAAAAATTGACAGCATTGCCAGCGGATACATCAAGATCTAAATTAAACGAAACAATATTTAAATTCTTTACAATAGTGGTTTTGACTCCATGATAAATAGTTTTGTTTACAACACCTAATGCAGAAAAAAACTGTTTTATTTCACATCACAGAGCAGGTTTTGCTATCTTTACTGCCGTTTTCTTGGTCTTGCTGTGCTTGTCTCTCCCTGGCCATCCTTTGGTGTTGCTCATAGTGGAAAACATCCCTGTATAAAGATTATTAGTTTATTGGTAAAGTTCTATGCAGGGGATAAAAATTGTCGATCAAGATTTTATTTTGAAAGATTCTGGCATTTTAAAACCGTAAATGTAATATCCTCTAATTTTTCTCTCCAAGATCGAGGTGTCTATAAACTTGAGTATATTGCAAGAATTTAACAGAGTGTTAGATTTTTCAACTTTCGTTTGAATCTAATATTATCTTTATCACAATCCAGAATATTCTTATCATTTTAGTGCAATTTTAATTTTAATAACTTTTTGAAATATACTTTATTTTCGCAAAATAAAATATAAAAAATGACGTCACTTCATATCACCACAGATACCTGTGTATGTAACTTGTCTCTAAAAAGTGTCAAAAACCATTAAAGGTCGTGATTTTACTTCATCAAGGGAAACACAACAATAAAACGGCCGGGGTGTGTATTACAGGGAATAAAGTGCAAGGGATGGTTAAATATCTAATTCAAGAATCGAACACGTTTCAATATTTATTTGATTTCTTCACATTAGATAACATGTTAACATTAAAATGAATTAAAGATGTTAAATGCGTGAAAAGGCATCTTATTATACTAACAAACCTCATGAAAATGTTTTTAATTATTTTAAAAAAATGTTTGAGTTTTTTTAAAATGTATTTTTCATGTTTCTATATATAGCGTTTTTAACGTATACAAAAATGGAGAACACATCAAAAGACAATATCAAAAAAAAACTTAAATGAAGTTTTTTGGATATAATTAGTCAACATTTCAACAATACAAAACTGTATGATAAAATCAGGAAAGCGTGAACTTAGTTTGTAGGTTTTGCTTTAAATGCAGGATACCTACGATTCAGCAGCGGAAGAATCTACGCTGAAAGAAATTAGGTCACTGTCATGTTAATTCACTACAACAAAGGTTTTTGAAATGAAAGTGGTGACGTCATACAATTCAATCAAAGGAGGATAATGCAAAAATATGATCATGTGTGAATGAATGTAGGTTTCATCTTCCTCTAAGATGAAATAAAATAACATACATATAGTTTTTTCTACGCTGGTGAATAATTTAAAAAGGAAAACGAAAAGTATATCGTAAATTTTCTACAAAATCTAAAATCTTCAAAAAGAAGGAAGAGACGAATTTGAGTTTAACAATTTCTTACACAACATATTGTATAAAAAAAAATTAAAAGAAGGTGAATATCATTTTCTATCAAAGAAATAGCGAATAAGAGAAAAAAAAGAATTGCATTGCACGCAAATTATGATCAAAATCAAAAAAGAAAAAGAAAGATTGCAACCCCAATTTTAAAACTATTATGTAATGTTCCTGAAAAGTAACATTACTTTTAAAAAAATCATTTTAAATTTCACACTACTTTTAGTAATAAAATAATTAATCTTTAAACTAGCGGTTAAACTTTTATGCTTCTATAGTAAAGCGTAACAAAATTCAGAACACAATAATTTGCAATACATGTACATTATTTCAAGCTGCACTACACAAATTTTCAACACATCTACATAAACGATTTGTTACATATAATAGTTAATACCGTTTTCTAGCTCGATTAAAATTGGAGCCAAAGCTGGTAAAACTAAACAAATGAAAAATATTTCGTTAATCAGAGCATGTTTTGATGATTATGATAGCATTTCAATGTTAAACCAAGAAAATAAGCCTGGTACGTATATAGGCCTATGTGTAAATGAAAAAAGACGCCTTGTTTTTCATGAGGTATAAAAATGCAAGGGTTGTGCATGATGCAGACACCATAATGCAGAAGTATTCAAATAACTAAATATTCAAGTTGCATGTACATGTAATCTGTTTGACAAATGGCTACTTACTTCATTCCCCGCGGCAATTCCGAGAAGTTTCTAAACTGCGGCCCTTTCTCAAAAGTGGGCGTGTCCACCTCGTCATCCTGTGTTCTTGCCGTGTCCGATCTGGCTGGAATGGATTGGTACAGAGGATCATCTTCTGTTGCTGTTCTTGAGCCTTAAAAAACAATAAAGTCAATTTTTCAAAGCAGGTTAGATTTTGCCATCAATTTTGTAAAACAATAAATGAAAATATAATATGGACTTTTGAGCTTGAATACTTTTGGTATCTCCATATATTTCATAACCATGATTGACAGTAATGTTAAAGTTACATTTTTTTCGAAAATAAAAGGTCCCCTGTATTTTCCCATCGCCTCAAGCCACGGTTCAGGGTCCGCACATAACTCTCCAGAATGAGAGAGAAATGTACATTTTGGCCGTGGATTGCAACGATGGTAATTCCCCCGTCTTAAGCAAGCGACAAACATCTACTTCTACCCCCCCCTTTCCCATTCAGCCATTGCGTGAAAAAATTAGGTTAAAATATACTTTAAGATTTCTCTATTTAATTCTTAATAAGGTTTATTGGCAGAACAAGATTAATGTTGGTGTAAAGTTTCTCATCCAGGACGTATAGACAGTATGACGATGGGTCTACCTAAATATAAAATCTAACCCTTCAATCTTTCTTTATTACAGAAGAAATCCACATTTTTTTTGATTTCTTAACAATTGAATTCATATAGAATTTTTCGTTCCCCTGTAATCAAAGTTTCGGGGGTACTAGTATATTGTATTTGCACTCTATTTGCACCGTCTGTCTGTCTGACGGGTTTACTTATCTGTCTGTCCGCAAAAACTTAAATCTTGCTCATATTCTCTGATTGATTGGAGATATGGCTTTTATATTTTTTTTAAAATATGTATCCCTTGTAACAAGACCTTTCTTTTGGTTTTAACATACTTAACCTCTTGAGCTTGACCTTGCTTACTTTTGCATTTTACTGAACTTTAACCTTGGCTAACTTGAGAATGCATGGAGCTAGGGCTTGTATACTTTACAAGTGTATACCTTGTGATAAGGTATTTCTTTTTTATACAAATATTTTTCACCTTTTAACCTTGACCCTTGAGATCTAATCTAGTTTAAAAAAAAAATAAACACTGGCTGTAAGTTTGAACAGCTAGGGCTAGGGTTTTCATATTTCAAAGGTGTATTTCTTTTCAAGATTATCCGTATGGTACCAACAATTTTGAGCCTTTGACCTTGAGGTTTAGTCTACTTTAAAAAAACAACTTTAACCTTGGCCATAACTTTTGAATGGTCAGTGATTGGGTCTTTGTACTCCACAAAAGTGTTTCTTATGACAAGACCTTCCTTCCTTCATGGGCACCTTTAATTTTAACCCTTTGGCCTTGATCTTCTTTAGAATAAGCTTGGCCACAACTTTTAAACAATTGCTGCTCGGATTACCATATCTCACATGTACAGGTGTTTTTCTTGTAACAATACCTTTCTTTGAGTACCATTATTTTTTTTATCTCATAACCTTGGAATTTTAATTTGCATAAAATTTACAGAGAAACTTTAACCTTTGTCATAAGCTGCCATATGATGAGCATCATAATTTCATATACAAATCTAATTCCTCCTAGCTGCACTTAGAATTTTCCTAATTTTGTTGTTGATTGGTCTCAGAATTAAAGTTTGTCTTGATCTTAATATTGGTAAATTAATAATTCTAAGTGAATATATTGGTAAGTTAATAATTCTAAGTGAAATTTATATACTTTCCAAAAAAACTGTGAATGATACAAAACTGAGCTTTCAACATCAAGAAAAGCAAAAACTAGATATTGATATGCATTGCAAGATTTACATTTGATTATAAATGTAATATTCTTTAACAATATTAGTATTTTACAATACTAAAATGATCATATGGTTAATTGACTAAATTTTCTACTTCATATGGTATAAATATACCATAAAAATCAGATTGTAGAAATAAAGAATCGTATGCTTGAATGTGTTAACTTTTCTTTATAAATAGTAAAAGATTATTGTTTTTTCAAGCATTCAACAAATGCCATATAATATTGTATTTATCAATGTTGACTCATCTTCTAAAAAAAAAAATTGATTTTTATACATATTTACCATACTATGCAAGGCATAGTAAACAATCTAAAATATTAGTAACTAAAAGAGAACTCCACATATAAACCATGCTTTTTTTTAATGTATAAGCAGAAATTTACAACAACTGGAAAAAATTGGACACATAAGTTAATTTAGCAGAAAGCTGCTTTCCTTCAATGTTGAGGTCATCTAGTAGAACAAAGGTAACAAAAGATAACAAAGATGAACTCAACCAATGTTTCAAACAAAATGAATGTTATGATTAGTCTGTATTCCTAAATGTTTCACCCAGGCTTTTTTCATGGTCACTGTAGGCTGTCTAGTTACTTGGGAATGAAACTGCATTCCAGAAAATTTAATTTGGTCATGCGTTTATTCAAAAATGTAGGTAATTTCCAACATCCAGATCATGTCTGGAAAAATCCATCTCTAGATGCATCATCTATGCAAGTTTGGTCCAAGGCTAGTTACTTAATTGGCAATGGATTTGCTTCTTAAAATTTTCTCAAGGTGAGCAAAAATAAAATGTTTTTCAAGCAAATCACAAAATATACAGACTGATACTAATTAAGTTATTTTTACACTCTTTTATCCAATGTACATAGTATAAGACAGTGCTCTGTTAAAATTCACCATCCCCAATGTAACTATTAAAGGTATATAGAAAGAGAAGATGGGATACATATATCAGAGTGCTCAGAAACGACACAAAAGATTCAGGGTGAAGATTCAGACTGTTAAATAAATTCTTTTCTAAAACACGATTATAATAATTTAATGTTTAGTAAAGTTAATCAAAGTTTGTTTTCCTGATACATCTCTTTTAATGTTCAAATGTTCATTTTTGCTATAAATTAAAAGATTGGTTATAAATATACAATTTTAATTTATCAACTCAATCAAAATCAAAATTAAAATAGCAAAATAAAAAAAACTCAGCGTAATGAATTAAACAATTTTATTTATAGTAAGCATATATATTTACCACGTACTGTATACAGAGGTTGTTTATCGATCTCCAATGTTATTTTGTTTGCATGGTATTTTCATCCAATTACGCTTAAAAAATTTAAATTTAGCCAGTTTTATTTTCAAGAGAAGGTCCCATGATTCTCTACATTATAAGGGTAAAAGGACAAAAAATTTCCTGTGTAACAGTTTTGAACTTTGGTTTTAAAAGCTACAGAAGAACAAAGCATTTAAGTGCAAGTTTTACTTATGAACAATATATTAGTAATACAAAACTCTAATGCATAAACCAAATCCGTGAGGTTAGATCACAACAAAATGCCAGATATTGAATACAGCTATAAAGACAAAAAAAGATAAACAAAGAAGAAAATGACAAAATCTAAGCAACATATACAAAGAGATATATTACAATTAAAATATATGGAGAACATTGAAGCAATTATTTAATACATAGAAACAAATACACACATGCATACATCCACTGGTTGTTACTTTCAAAATGCCCCAATAGCTGTAACTATGTTATTGAGTTTCATGGAAATACCCTAAGAGCCAAGATATTCCTCTAAAATATGAAAGTTCATAAGTAATTCACTTGACTTTTTAAAGGACTTGAACCTGGATGGGCTAAATATTATTCTTGGCTCTCAAGTGGAGATACAAAAAGAAAGCAATGCAATTGTAGCTAAGCAAAAAAGACAAAGATTGGTGTATATGGGAGATTTTTCTAGCATTTGGAATGCTGACTAGCTGTTATGTCACAAATCTATTCTACAGGATACATGGCTACATAGAGGAACTTGTGTTTCTGTGAGTGCATAATACCTTGCATTGACCCCATTTCTATTTCATGATAGGTCCCACTAGCCTCCAAGCCCTCATTTCCCCTAGCAGATGATTTCTGATGATCATCTTCACTGCCATCATCATCATCATCATCACTTTCTTCTGAACTACTGGAGCTATCAGCCTGATCACTCAAGAAATTAGGATGTGAGCTATGTTCAGAGTGCCTGACAAATCTCTCACCTCCTGACTTGGGTGATCCTGTATGCTCTATGTCAGCGTAGTGGAGTTTTTTGTCCTGCACCCTCTGTGGTGTCTCGTAGGTCCCTCCCAGGAGTTTGGTCTGGGGAGGGGACTGGGTTGGAAGAGGGGGAGCTTCATCTTCAGAGCTGTCAGAAAAAGAAGCAATACAAGTACAAGAAAAACTAACTCAAGTATAAAAGGAAGATTTTAAAATTATACTTTGGATGGCTTAAAGATTTACAATTGGACTTCAGTATCTCAAACACTGTTATCTTGAAAAACGTGTATTCATGTATATCAAAGTGATTTCAAAATTCCGATCTCTTTTATTTTCAGTATATCATGGAATCCTAAGATATCTTGGCTTTTTTTTTGGTCCCATTGAGAATGAGATAACAAGGTCCGACTGTTCGTTTGAAGACAATTACTAGTATTTACTATAATCTAAATACCTTTCACTTTCCTCTTTAGCTTGCTTTGGTTTTGTCTTATCTCTGGTGTTCTAAAATTAGATAAAATTCTAAATTATTCATTTAAGAAATTGACCTACATAATACACCAAAACCTCAGACTCTAGAACAATGCATGACTAACACTTGATTTTATGGATGAACTAAGTACAATGTACTTATTGTGTTTACCTTTTGTGATACATCTGAGTCACTGTCTGAAAAATAAAAAAAAATATCAATTAGGAATGAAAACTTGCAAACTTTTTTGTATTGCAGCAATTAGTTATATGTGCATTTTGTAATCTACTTACCATGTTTATCTAACTGTTTCTTCAAGGCCTCCGTAAAAGCCTTTTTATCATCCTCTTCATCATTCACTGCTGTGTCATCTGATGATTCCGATGAAGATTCAGATGATGAGTCAGATGAGGAATCAGATGATTGGTTGTGAAGACCTTGGATCTGAGCCATCTTTGTACTCTGTCTTCTATTGGTATTCATCACACTAAAATCATCAATTTAAAGATGAAAAGAACTGACAGATAGACAGACAGACAGAGAGAATGACAGAGTGAAAACTACAGGGAACCTGAAAAGCTTGCAAAGATCTATAATCAAACTAAATGCTTCATAGTGTTTAAGGTGGACCAACCCTCTGATAAGAGGGATAACTTTCTACGTTAAAAAAATCCTAAGATTGCTTACAGTTTATCTAACCAGAGTTTAATAATTGAAACCATGGTGTAGTTAATTGCATCAAAACCCACTTTGTGATTGTTGTATTGTATTAAGAAATCTATAAACTCTGAATGGAATAGTCTCTAAATCTGGAGGTAAAGATATCTGACCTTGACCTCCCAGTACTGCTTCTGCTGGCTCTTCCCTGCATAGTTTCTGCCATCTCTGTCTTGTGGATGGTCTTGTCAATATCAGAGTTGTCTTCCTCTTCTTCTTCTTCAGAATCCCCCGAACCTTCTTCTTCAGAATCCCCCGTACCTTCTTCTTTCTCGGATTCTATCTCCATCATTGAGTTCCGTGTGCTGGATCGGATACTTTCCGTTATAATGGTATCCTTACTGAGCCCTCTGGCTACCTTTTCATATCTCAGGGAGGAACCTTTCCTGCCAACTGGTACAAACCTGTCAAAGAATGACATTTACTTATTATTATAATAAATATAAATATATATACCGGGTATTCTGAATTTAATGCAGTCAACCAAACAATAAACTTAAGTTATGACTAGGAAATATAATTAACTTAAAAAAACAATTTTTTTTTTGAAAATATTTACGTCACATGCATTTCAAGCCATTCAAAAAAAATTATAATACATTTATATGCTTATCTGTTAACTTATGAATATAATACAAATGTTGATTAACTGATGAGCAAGTTTAATTTTGCATGTGTTAATTTAGCTTGTTTACAGCCTTCTATTCATTTCAAATTAGCAACTGAATTGATAACTCAAACTTAATGTATTTTTGGTCTCTATGGTTTATCATTAGATTTAGCAGATATAATTTGGGCAAATCTTTTTCCATTTATATAGCATGCACTGTTATTCTGTACTTATGTATGATAGAAACATGAAATCTTTCTTCTAATATGATACCAACTAACAAAATAAGCATCTCATGCATCAAATAAGCTTTTCTTTCTGGCAACCCAGGTATAAACAAAAATACTTCTATTTAACAATTTTATCTTGGTCATTCGTTAAATTTCAAAAATAGGGCAAATTGATATTTCTGCCAAAATTACTAGCTGCATATGGGTGTAAGCTTTACAAAGGAATTTCTATTTTTTTTAAATAATGCAGAAATCCCTGGCATGCTTATCAAACATTGACTGCATGGAGATACATGAATACTACTTAAAAAAATAATTATTTGGCAATATCCATAGCTCTATTAAAATCCCGCCACTCAAGAAAGCATGTTTCAGTCAGGTTAAGTATTCACATTTCAAATTCGGACAGCTCCTCTGCCAGGAAGGATAACTCTTAAACTTAGATTTTTCAATTTTATTCAAAAAGTCTCAAAATGAATTTGAAAATTTTCATTATCCTGTGGAATCATTTAAACTCATAGGAGGGGTGGGGTGTTTAATTTAGAAAATGAACAATTTCTTGGTGCCATATTTTTAAGCATAAAATCTCAACATTAAAGCTATATAGATTACAGGTCAATATTCATTTTTGGTTATGAATTCCATATATGGCTCAATATTGATAAAAACCATAAAAAACAGTGAACCAATATGGTCAAAACATAATGATTCCACAGTTTTTTTTTAAACAAAATTGATAGTAGTAAAATATTTACCCATAGCTGACACGTTTTGATTTCCTATTTAAAATATCAAGGATAAGATAGATCATACATCAGTTTTAATCCTTAGGCTAATAATTCATAAGACAAAAAGACCCTCTTAAATACCTTAAGTTTTGTATTAATTAACACAATAAATCAATTAAAAACTAAGGATTTTATTGACTATACATGTGTGTAATACTTATACATTGTATATAATATGCAGTATTGATAAGCAATTTAGAATATTAAAATATTCTAAATTGCTTATCAATACTGCATGTGGTTGAAATTATATATTAGTTTTGGACAAGTTAAAATGTGAACTAAAGATAATTAACCTCTAGCTTTTTAGTTTTACGTAAAATTGTATAATAATATTGCATAAAGGAACAAACCATGGTTTAGAAGTTCTTTGTTTGATTAACAAAAATCAGTTTCCATGAGAAAAACTGGAGAAAATATTCAGTGGTTTTAAATATCTGGAGATTTTAGTTTTACTCAAAAACAGCAAACTAAAAATTGTTAAACTTGATAAATCTCATTCTTAATTACTTTTATGTGAATCATTGTTATTAAAATTATATCAAAGGATTTCCACTTGATTTCTACTAGATGTACCATGCAGTCTACAAAGTTATTCAATAATTAATAATTAGTTAATTTTCATTCTGCAAATTGGCAAGCATAACAAACCTGAAGGCTTCTTGTCTTATTTCATCACTGTGAAGAAATATTCAGATTTTCAAATACAATATTAGAAACATTTTAGAATAGAGGGAATAGAGGCTGAAAATAAAGGATTAGAATTATGGATGGACCTATTTAAAGGATATGATTTCAAAATAAAATGCTACACTGCATTGTTCAAAAGGGGTGTTTCAAAGCACACAGACAGACTAATTCTAAAGGAAACATTGTGTTTCTTCTACAGATGCTAATGAAACAAAAAGCACATGGAAACTGGAAATAATACTGGAGATAAAGACAAATCCAAGTACCAGTATATGTTTGTCAAAAATAAGACAAATTTTAAATATTTAAACAAAAAGATTATTCATATCTCTTAGAACCAAATCATACTTCAGAATCTACTTTATGTTTGAAGCTTAAAAAAAGATTTAATTTAAAACAAGAGGTCCATGGGCTTTAACAGTTACCTGGGAATCACAATTTTTTGCTTTATTAACTTCATTATATTAAATTTTCTAAAAAAAACTTAAAGAGTCCTTATTAGGCCCAAAGGGAAAGATTAAGTCAGAGCTGAATTTACATTAGCAGGCAATATTTCCATAATTTGGCATTTTTAACCAAATGTCGCAGAGGATGTATTTTTAAAATTTAATTTAAAAAAAACATAATGCAAATAATTATTCCTTGACTTGACTCTGTACTAGATTATAATTACTTCAAATGAATTTTACATTTGTAACCAAAAGTATTGTCAAAAAACAAATATCTCCATTCATATTGTCCATATATCAATGCTTTGCAAACCTTTGTGGTCATGCATGGATCAGCACTGTTCTAATACATTCAAGAAATAAAGCATGTTCAAAACTGAATAAAAAGTAAACAATGTGATTTCAGCCACAAAAAGTTGGTGAATAATATCAATTAATTAAGCCATTAATTGTCTTACTTCTGTGGAATGCTAATTCTGAAAAATGAATGTGCTTTATAATTTTAGAAAATTTAAGAACACAAAGCAGAGTCAATCTAATTAAAATTAGACATTAAATCCTCTCATATACTTGCTACACTAACATCTAACAACATCCCATAGAGGGTCACATTAGAGTTCAAATTCTATCAACCAATCAAATCGTCGCCTGCAAAATTGTCATATATTTGTTGAAGCGAATAAGTCAAGAGCTAGCTGTTCCAAATTTGACCTCTGACATGACCCTCTATGGGATGTTGTTAGATGTAAGTGTAGTGAGTATACCAGCAGATCTAACACCTAATTTTAATTAGACTGAAGCAGAATAAACATCATCTAAATTATTACACTAAAGTTTCTGTCTTGCTTAAGCTAAAGACCTTTACATGGTGTATAATGGTTTTTTTTTTTTCCTGGTGTATTTCAGTGAGAATTCAGTCCTCTAAATGCATTTATATGTAGCATTTAATACTTTGATTTTTATTTTTTGTTGCCTCTTATATTTTTTTTGATTTTGAATTGAATCAATACAAGTTAAAATTTATTGTAATAAATCAATGGTCGGCAATTACTAATCAGTACGTAATTAGTGTATGTACATGTGTTGTTCTCTAGCTCTAATATTATGTTAGTGAAGAAGTGAAGAAATTTATTAAAATAATTATTATATTCAGAGCAAGCAGAAAGTTTCTTTAGATTATGTTTATATAAGATTACCTTTGATGCCTGCGGGGGGATCCCATGGGAGTGGAGCTGGCTTTCACTGGAATGGCCACCTCTTTCTTTATGAGAGGTTCATGTACCGGTGTTCTGCTAACCCCAGTCTCAGTGCGGTTTGCCTTAAAATAGATAAGTATAGCTATAATACAGATTATTATACTTCTGTTAAAATGTTTCCTATATAAAGTTAAGAAGGTAAAATAACTATCTTTTATAGTTCACACATAGCAAAGCTATACCCCAGGGTATAGTTTTTGCTATCCACCCTCAGAAAATTTTCATGCAATTTTTGCCTCCAATTTTGATTTGCAGCGATAAATCTATTGACTGATGATGTCATAATGACTTCAGTAGCATTGTGATGTCATCAGGATTTCAGATTATTCTTGCAGTATTATCTTACTCCAAAAAATTAAAACCTCAGAAATTATTACACATCAGTATAATAAAACGTTTATCCACTGGTTGTGCGTGGGATAGCACTTTTATCAAACCCTTGACAGGGACTATTCCCTGTCGCGGGTTTGATAAAAGAGCTATCCCACTCACAACCAGTGGATAAGTGTATATTGAAACCTAAACTGGGTCAAATTTAAACTTTATTATACATCTTAGTTTCACTCCATGAATAAAGATTTCTTGAGGTTAAAATAGAGTTAAGTTTTTCAAACACTAGCAAGCAATACATTTCATTTTATTTCCGAAAAAGATATAAATCCCACACTCCATACTTTATACTTTACTTTAAACTTTATAAACCACTCTTCTCACCCTAACAGGTGGTGCGGTCTCCTTCTTGACCTGTGTCTGTAGAGCCAGGGTTATCTTGGCTACAATGCGGTTCTGGGCCACCGTGTTGGAAGGTTCGGAGGACGCCACCAGGGTCAGGGCTTTCTGAAAGTACTCCACGGCTTTCTTGATGTTATTCTGGTTAAAAGCCACTGCCCCCAGTCCTTCACTGACCTGCCACTGCGTTCTCTTGTCACCTGTTACATTGATGGTGAAATCATGTGTTAAGCTTTAATGCACGTGCAACCTTTTTTGCATGTATTTAATGCATGTATTTTCCCTCATACTTTTTTTCAATGATTAAATAAAAAAAACTTGACTTTGTGAAATGGTTAATTTTTTTCAAATAATAGTCAGAAAATTTCAAATACTCAGATTTTCAATTAGTAATAACTAAGGAGATCAAGGAAATCAGAAAAACAGCTTTGTTTTCCACATCATCTAATTACCAGAATCCTTGGCTGCCTGTAGAGCATGTAAAAAGGCCTCTCCTGCATTGGCTATGTCTCCAAGCTGACTGTAGGCAAAAGCCATGTTGGCGAAACACTGTCCTTGGCTATTTCTGTTACGTAATCGAGCTACAACAAATACAACAATAGCATAAATCATACTCTGGAAAACTCAAACAGTAATGTAAATTTACACTAATTTAGTGTCATTAATTTTCACAACAATAAACTTTATTTCAGGAATATGAACTTAATTACAAGTCAGCTAGCATTTTAACAAAACAAAAGCAAGATTGCATGCATACGAGGGGTTATCAAAACGTTCGTGGACTTAGGCTATAAAATTAGTACGATGTAGTCTGTGCTTTCAAAATTTATATGGAACATAAAACAACAAAAAATAAAGAAATGTTAAAAATTTTAGTGTGATATGTTCATTATTTGCCAAATTATTATAAAATGAAAACGACAATATATGATCACCCGGTGTTGTCGTCGTTTATTTTCATGACGTCCGATAACGTCATTGTTTTTTCAATGTCCGCTTCTACCTCATACACTTTTTTTATGAGATTCCCTGGAGCTGAGTAAAGACTTAGACCCGCCTTGTTTATATGACTTTACAATGTCATGAACAGTGGCCTTCAATGAATATAATATTCCAAATGGATTAATACATTGGGAGAGATCCGTGCTTGATTGTGCCAGCATATTTTGCTTTTGGGAGTTCAATATCTACATTACATAATCAACATAATTTTTTGACGTGATTGATTTTTTCACACCATGACTGCAAATCGACATTGTATCACTTTTCTCTCTGAATCTCTTTTGACATTAAAAGACAAGTACTCTGGATGCATATTATTTCTCTGTAGCCAGTTTCAACATATTTTAGGTCTATACATGTACCAGTTTTTTCAGGGGCAAAACTTTATAGAATGTTGGAAATGGAAACCCCTACCCCCTTTTGATGTCATTTTCAATGCCTCATTTGTTTGGACATTCTGAGTAAAATTTATGATAAAATTTCATAGAACTTCCAGAATGAAGTGAAAATTTCATATTTTATGGAACAATTGTGTCCCAACAAATACCTGAATTAATGGGATTTTTGGATGTCAGATGATCATATCAAAAGAGTTTTTCTCAGTTACACATAGGTCGCAAAAACGTCGTGTTCGAGGTTGCACCGCCTGGACATACCATTGCTTACAAAAACATTACTAATTTATTAAAAAATAAAATTTATGATTTATGGTTTATTCTTTAGATAGAAAAGATGATGCTAACTAGATATTTTAAAATTCATTGATGTGCCTAAAGCGGTTTTAATTTTGTGACGCTAGTCCACGAACTTTTTAATAACCCCTGTTATTCTTTCATGATTCTTTGAAGAAAAAAAATGTCATAATTCTAACATGATTTTCCTTTTGTTTTCCACAAAAATCTTAGCATTTGAATAACTGGAAAAATGTAATTATTACATATTTCATGCCAATGTAATATAATTATATTTTATGGATGATGCTTGACAGTTGTTTTGCCAAACACAGTAACATTGCGAGGATTGATTTGATGAAAAATATTGATAATCACTTTAAGATTTATACACCTTACATACCATACATATCCCCAGCCTTCTCGTGGTACTCTACAGCTTTCTGATAGTTCCCCAAAAAGTTGTATGTAGCTCCAAGATTCTGGAGAAGTACCGCCATCTGCTTCTCATCCCCTTCTGGGCCCTCCACCATTGGTAAAGCCAACTCAAAACACGAAACTGCCTGATCATATTTCTGTCTCTGAGTAAATATCAGTCCTAGGTCATTGTAGATGGTGCCTAGAATGTATAATAAACATACTGTGAGTATTATACATCTCAAAATCATTTGAATTGGATAAAGCTGTTGGGAGTAGGGGAGTTGAATAGAGGTAAATAACAGTGATAGCATTTTGATACCTAATGATTTACTTGTGTACAATTCATTTATTAAACAAGCATAAAAAGAAGTCTCTACTTTGATATAAAATTGTTAAGTTAAACATCACCAAGGAAATAAAGACAGTTAGGGAAATGAAAAACTAACCTAGATTGACAGAGGGGCCACATTTTTCTGCCAGTTTCAGACACTCCTCTGCTGTTTTCTCAGCCTCTTCAGCCAGGGCATTGGCAAACTGTTGGTTGGCCTTCTCAGTCATCGCCCACAACTGCTTAGATGGATTGTTCAAAATTTCATAGGTCTGGGCCAACTGCTCAAAAGTTTCTGTAGTAAATTTGTTTCTGGTTTTTAGATACAGCTGACCTAATTTCTCCAGTGTTTCTGCCTCCATTTGGACATTATCCCTCTCTATTTTATACTCCTCCAAAGCCTTTTTATAACTTCTGACAGCTTCCTCTGTATTCCCCGTCATCTCATGTCCCAGTCCCAGGTTAAAGTACAGGTCCCCATTAGACCTCCCTTCCCTGGCATTATCTGGAGGCAATGCTTTATTGAGGAGTTCAATCCCTTTCTTTCCATCTCCAAGAGCAATGTAAACGGCACCTAAATTAAACGCACAGGCTCTCTCAGTGTAACTGTCATCATCTAGTTCTTTTGAACGTTTGTATGCATACTTGAATGATTCTAGAGCTCTTTCTAGATGGTTGTTTTGCAGATCTTGTGTTCCAAGCTTGGAGAATTTTTCTATTTCAGCAGCAGGGTTTAACATCCTGTGATCCATCTTCATTTTTCAGAAAAGAAAACACACCTAGTAACTGAAAATAGATAAATATGAGTATTGATTTTAAAAGTTTTCTTTTGCTAACTCAGTGTTTTGAATTTCATAGCAGACAGTGTCAAGTTATATGAACTTGGCTGTCAACAAAGTGAGGACAGTGTCATTTTTGTTATTTTGAATGATTATTTTAAATTATTAGATATACCTGTTGGATATCTAAATAGGCATTTAAAAAATCCTGCTTTAAAATAATCTATTAGGGTTTACTTAAACTCAAATTATGTCAATCTAACTTATTGTTATACAGTTAGTGAGTTACAGTTGTGCAAAGCGCACTTATACCGTTGTGGTGTCATAAATCTAGAGAAGGTTAACACTAAAGTTAAACTGTTCCTTAGATTTTGCATCATGAAAGGACATGCAGGTACCTTTTTCAAAAGTGAAAACCAGTATTAAAGCCAAGGCCAAGGGACGTGCATGGCACTTTGCATCGGGCACCTGCCAATATCCGACAAGAACGCCGTGATCCAGATATATTCTTGGATAAACTGAATTTTTTAGGAATATCCCCATTAAAATGCCATAAAATGCCCCCTTTTCTTTAGAAAGCCAATTTGCAAAAATATATTATTTACCTTTGACGAGGAATGGAAGGGACTCCGTCAGCCATATTGTTTTGGATAGTTTCATGGCAACATATTTAGAATTTTGAACCCGATGAGAATTAGTGATAGTCATGATAGTCATAATTAATACAGGTGTAGTATTCTTCTCTCGGGTGCCATTGAAATTTATGAAATACATTTCAGTAATAAACTTCATTTAAAATGAATATGTTTTATTTAGATATTAAACATTAACTTCCTTAATATCTACAATATAGTTACAGGTACATCATATGTTCTCATGGACAGCACCGTGCTTTGTTCAGAATTTGATAACAGCTGGTTAACTGTGGATTGAAATCGATAGTCAATCATGTAAATATTTTATATATTGCATATAGCATCCTCTGAAATATTATTGCAATTCCCGGTGAACAAAGCTTTTGGTCAAGATTATATATAAATTAGTCTATTTTTTTTTAAGTGTACCCTTTTAAATCACTCGTATGTTGAATTTTTTTTGCCAAATTTTATGTTTGTATTGTTTGTTTTAAGGTAGTTATCAACTTTCTGTAATTACGTGTGCTGTCCCCCTGTTACCGGTCTACATGGCGTTTTTCACCTAATTGACGGAATAGTCAAATTTATATCTTTGACAAATGGAATTTTTTTTATCCATATTTTTGTTCAAATGTATTACGTATACAATTACCGACCGAATGATTTATAGCTTTCATATAGTGAATTGTTTTAAAATTATGAAAATAGCGCAAATGCCGCCGCAATAGTAATTTGACACCAACACCGTGCGCGACGTCTATGTTATTTAATTATTAGGTCCTTGTCAGAAAAAAGTATTTCCATCTTTATGGAAATTAGCTGGCGTTATTTATATTATATTCCTCTTTACTACATGTGGTTTCCGTTTATTGTATAGTATATTATTTATATTATTTAACGAATCCTACCTGATCATTCTTATTCACTAGACTAATTTATCTATAATCTAGACTAAAAGCTTTGTTCACCAGGAATTGAAACAATATTTCAAAACATAAAATGTAAAGTTTTATTTTTCGATCTTCAAAAGGTTTTGACAGAGCAAATATGTCTCCTTTCTAAGTTGAAACGTGTATGTTACATTTGTTGATCTCCTAAATATATGGTTTTCTAGTTATCTATACCATAAGTCACAGAATGCAATGTAATGAAAACAAGAGGCCCATGGGCCACATCGCTCACCTGAGAAGCTTTGACCAATCTGTCCTTTACCAGATTTCCCCCTTGTAATACATATTGCCCCCCATCCTACCCCACTGATCATAATTTAGACATTTTGAAATCTACATTACCCCAGGATACTTCCATATGCACATAAGTATCAGCTTTTCTGGCCCAGTGGTTCTTAAGAAGAAGATTTTCAAAGATTTTCACTATATATTTCTATGTAAAACTTTAATTCCCCATTGTGGCCCCGCCCTACCCCCTGGGGTCATGATTTGAACAATTTAGAATCTACACTACCCCAGGATGCTTCCATATAAGTTTTAGCTTTTCTGGCTCAGTGGTTCTTGAGAAGAAGATTTTCACAGATTTTTCCTATATATTTCAATATAAAACTTTGATTCCCCATTGTGGCCCCGCCCGACCCCCGGGGGTCATGAATTGTACACTATGCCAGGATGCTTCCACATAAGTTTCAGCTTTTCTGGCCCAGTGGTTCTTGAGAAGAAGATTTTCAAAAATTTTTCCTATACAATTTCTATGTAAAACTTGGATTCCCCATTGTGGCCCCACCCTACCCCCGGGGGTCATGATTTGAACAATTTAGAATCTACACTACCCCAGGATACTTCCATATAAGTTTTAGCTTTTCTGGCTCAGTGGTTCTTGAGAAGAAGATTTTCACAGATTTTTCCTATATATTTCAATATAAAACTTTGATTCCCCATTGTGGCCCCGCCCGACCCCCGGGGGTCATGAATTGAACAATTTAGAATTTACACTACCCCAGGATGCTTCCACATAAGTTTTAGCTTTTCTGGCTCAGTGGTTCTTGAGAAGAAGATTTTTTAATGATCCCACCCTATTTTTGTCTTTTCTTGATTATCTACCCTTTTGAGGGGACTTGGCCCTTCAATTCTCCTTCACCCAAGGATGCTTTATACCAAGTTTGGTCAAAATTGGCCCCGTGGTTCTTGAGAAGAAGTCGAAAATGTGAAAAGTTTACAGACGGACGGACGACGGACAAAATGTGATCAGAAAAGCTCACTTGAGCCTTCGGCTCAGGTGAGCTAAAAAGCGAAGATAATGAAACGTGATTGATCTCGTAAAACTCAGAACAATACTCGCACAAGTATTTGCAAGCATGAGAATGGCATAAAACCCAAATCCTCGAAAAATTCCAGAGGTGCATGAATCAGATGCCTTGGGAGAGTGAGCATCCCATGTCGACTGGTCACACACCGCCTAGATGGTTGTTTTGTAGATCTTGTGTCTTTAATTTCGAGCTCATCGGGGTATATTGAGTCGGAATATGAAAAGTAACCATTTGAAATTGTATTTAACTTTTTTTTCATAAACGATTGGAAATGTATCTATATGTCATAAAAGACAATAACGGAGTAAAGCAAGCAACTGAATTTTGAATTTTTTTTTCAAATTGATGTATAAGATCGGGGATCTTTTTTTATTGCCTTCTTGACTCTAGGCGTCGGAACTGGGGGGCTAGGGGGAATTATCCCCCGTCTTTTTTGCAAAGATATACTTTGAACCTTGGAGCATAGGTTTAGCCCCCCCCCCCCTCCTCCCCCACTTGCAACAGACACGTTATAGTTTAGGTCAAAAAGGGGGATAAGTTGTAGTGTTTGGGAAAATATGGTACTGAAAGAAATTGGATCCTACCCCCCCCCCCCCCCCCCCCCCCCCCCCCCGAGTTTGGACAATGCACACATCCCCCACCTTTTTTTTTTTTTTTTGCTTGTCAATTTTTTTTTATGGTTTTGAAATTTTTTTCTCTGGAACTTAATTAGCCCCCTTTTTTTCAATTTGCCGCAGACGCCAATGTGACTAGAGATTATGCATATAATTAATATTAATTATTATACTTAAAATGTATTAGTATATTTGAAAATATAGTCGATGCTTTGAAATTTTGAGCAGAACTCATGAAAAAATGGTGATGGAGAAAGAACATTCTATCCTACATTTTAGTTTATTTCACGTACACTGTGTATAAGAAAATAAAAGGAAATGAAGTATTTATTACTGAAGTATAATGAAGAGATGCATGGTTCGTTTCGTGATCCCAATAAATTAATATGAAAATGCTAAAGGATTTTTAATGCGACTTAATAAATTTTTTGGCAATAAAATTTCATTTTATCATTTTAATTCTAGAAACATTTTTAGGAGAAATAGAAATAGAAGACCTTGTGACCAATGATAAGAATAAAGGAGACAGATCAATCTAATCTTTCATAAATTTACATCATGTGGAGATAGCACAAACTATTACTTTTTTATCTTCATTTTGTGTTTATATAAAAGAAAGAATTACATAGGTAAATACTAAATAGGATCTCAAAGAGTCGATTCCAAGGAAATGCGTAATTCCCTTTTTTTTTCGAACTTAGAACAATAGGATTCTGAAGTGACGATGAGATTGATGTTTTCATCAGTTCTCTGTTCTAGAATTCCAACCTAGACTTCCATATAATTGACGTAATGGTATTTATTTAGGTATTTAATTTGAAATGAACACTAGTTCAATTGATATTTGACTGAGATGAGTATTACAACACAGATTTAATGGATACATTAAGTGAATTTTGTTCCACTGTTTGACATTCACTTGAGCTGGGTTTTGTTCTCTAATGCTGTGTCAATTGCTCCATTGAATGACGAACAAAGATTCGTGTGTCATTATGCTGTTGGTGTAAAACGGAACTGTAGGGAAAGAATACTTGAATTTAAAACAAGAAATTCCAATTTTTGGCCTAAAATGGGACACCAATCAATAAATCAATCAATCATTCAAATCTAATTAATTCTAATTTCTGAATTTGACACTAGATTAAAGGACTATTACATACAGCTGAAAATGTCAAAATAGCATATATAACCCATTCAACAATGTACACAAAAGAGAAAAATCTCAGGTAGAAACTGTTACTAATGTCCAGAACGTCATTCCATGTGATGTTCTTTGCTGGGGGTTGTTCTTTTTGTGATGAATTACATTTGTTCTGTATTTCGGGTTCTACATTATCTACCTCTTGGCTTGAGCTACTGACTGTATTCCTTTTCTTCACCATAACACACAAAATAAAAATCACTTTACACAACTTGCTTGGAACTTTAGAGTTTTTCTGGGATTTTTCGTATGCAATAATGGACAAAATTGTGCAAATGACTATAAATACACTGTTTTGCAACTGTGCCATAACCATTATGTTGAATAGACTTATTGGTTCACTTATAGGAGGCAAGCGATCGGCAATCATGTTTAAAAAGAAAACCAACGTCAGCAAAATTGTTATTGAGAAAGACACGCGTTCTCCCGAAGAAACGGGTAAGGCGAAAACTAAAATATTTATGAGACCAAGACAGGGTATGGGCGACAGAATGTTCAGAACATAAAATCCAGGTCTCCTTTTAAACTGTATTGCAATATCCACCATGCTGTGATTTTCGGATATTTGAAAAACGGAAGTCTTTGTTGTGACGTTGATTACCTCCCAGTCCGTGTTCGAGAATGTTGGGATACTATAACTTAGCTCATAGACCGCCATTCTCACGTCTTCAATGCTTTCCCAGCTTAACAATTTTAATTCACAGTTATGCTTATCAAAAGGAAAATACAGTATAGTGGCTTCGCATCTAGTTGTAGAAAGACCATTAAATGTAAAAACAGCAAACCCATGATAGTGAAAATAGACTCGTTCATGTTCAGTATCTCCTCTGTAGATAGTCATGTCCCCTGTCGCTGAGTTTTGAAGAAAAAAACGTGGCGTCCACACCAATGAAGGCTGTAAATAGATTTTTTGAATATCAAATATGGAAGCATTCCAATGTATCTTCTCATCCATCCACCACAAGGATAAGAAACACATCGTCTTTAGAATACCAGACCTCTCATCAAATGAAACAATAGAGCTGAGTTTAAAGTCAATATAAACTGGTAGAACTTCACTTTGGTTCTTCAAAGGACGAAGAGAAGGTGAATAGTTGGTAAGAAGCTGTTGTTTAAAATGATATAACTCTTCGTACTCTACTGCACTGGTTTCTGAAAAGTACGACATACTGGAAAATAATAGTACCACAACAACCCGCATTGATGTAACGGATAACATTTTGTGATATTGAAGCTGACAAATGTACCCTATTCCTTTTATACTTGATTCATCAGATTAATTGCATTTGGATAGATTTAAAGTCAATCGATACGAATGCGTCACAGAACGATATGCATGCAGTCAATGGCTTATAGCATATGGGCATATCAACCTTCTAATTTTACTTTCGAAACAGTGTAATTTTTAAAGTTCAAAATTTCATCGAACATTGCAGATTGGGAGCAAGCAAACTCAGACCTCTCCAAAAAATATCAGAGTTGGGATCAGGTGTCATGGAGGGGAAAGCATCCCATGACGACCCGTCTCACCCTGTGCTCCTGTCCTTGTAATGATTGAGAAAATAACGGAAAAATCCGTAGACAATTCACTGTCTCCATGACGGCCTCGCCCGCGTGGCGCAGTGGTTAGAGCGTCCGCTCCAGAGTCGCGAAGAAAGGATTTGATCCTTACATGTAGATGTACGTCGCGGGTTCGAATCCCACTGTGGGACGTGGAGACCGAGACCGAGGTCTCGTGTTGCAGTAGGTGCTGGCACGAAAAAGATCCCTCCCTGCTCAATGGCCCTGAGTGCCTAGTATACAGGTAGGACAAAATTTGTAGCTCTCCACCGGCAAGTGGTGGCGTCTCCATATGAGTGAAAAATTCTCGAGAGTGACGTTAAATAACATACAATCAATCAATAACGGCCTAACAATAACACATGTGTGGAATGAAAAACATTAGTCAGCAACTCAGCATTTGACTTAATGGTAAGTTGTATTTGCTGACATGTTTGATGTATCAACGATAGAACTTGCTTGATGATGGTTTTCAGCAAGTTGTTATTTGTGTTTCATCAACTTGTTTGTTACTAGCTTGCCTCCTTTCAGAAATTGTTGGTATGTAGATCATGGTTTTTCGTAATAGATCAAATGGGAGACAAAAAAAAAATATTAATATGCAAGTGTTTTTCTCAAAGTTTTGAACAAAATCTGCTTGATATGAGTACAAAAGAATCAAAGTGATAATATGCACAATCAAAATGTTTATAACAAAACAATATTGGAAATTACCAATGACAAGGTATGTAAATTTACGAGTTCCAATTTTTTAAACCGGCTATCAATGTCAACAGCCATGACTTACAATTGGTTGTACAAAGTGTTAAAATAAATAAAAATTAATATGATTGATCAATGACAAGGTGAGTAAATTAACAAGTTCCATTTTGTTTGAAAAAGCAGCTATCAGTGATTAAAAAAAACTGGAACTTTAATTTATCGTGGGGAATGGTTTTATATAATGTTGAAAAGTCTTTTCAGTTTTAATCATGTTGATCTGGTAAAAAAAATGTTATTTCAAATGCAAAAGTACTCGTACCTTGGAATCTTTTAATTATCGACCGATAACCAATCATGTAAATATTTTATATGTTGCCAATAGAATCCCCTCTGAAACATCTATTCAATTTCTGGTGAACAATGCTTTTGGTCCAGATTGTATATAAATTAGCCTAAACATTGTGCACTTTAAAACCATTTTTAACTTTGTGTTAGGTGCATGGGTCAGATGCCTTGGATGAGTTAGCATCCCACTGTCGACTGGTCACACACCGCCATGAGCCCTTAGTATTGATCAATTCAAGTTTGATATAAAACTGGTTTGAAACAAATCATCAAGATACGCCCAACTGATAAGCTATATTTGCTAATGTAACAATGACTGGACCGGGAATCGAACCCGGGTCCCTTGCATCTTCAGGCAGGTGCTCTACCAACTGAGCTATCTAGGCCGATATCCACGGCCCAAACCATTACACTAATAAGGTCAACAAAACGACCAAAGAGATTACAAAAAGTCGACTTTATCCATATTTTTGAAATCCCTGAAACATCAACTTATGTGTCAATAGCCTTTCTCAGTAAAAAAAAAATGACTGTACTCAGAACATCAGTGTTCTTAAGTATCGATAAGTTTGAAGTCGACTTTATCCATATTTTTGAAATCCCTGAAACATCAACCTATGTGTCAATAGCCTTTCTCAGTAAAAAAAAATGACTGTACTCAGAACATCAGTGTTCTTAAGTATCGATAAGTTTGAAGAAAAACATCATATGCAGATCATAGCGACATACATGTATTACTACATAAATCAGGAAAGTTAACGATGGAAAGCTGAAGTCATCCTGAAAACTTGAGGTCATTTTTTTAATCATAATTGTTACTTGGCCCTGATCATTATAGAAGTAAATCATCAAAATATACAGAAACAAATATGAAAGTCTCTGGGGTGCACATGTCTTTAACTTCGAGCTTACTGAGATATTATACACTTATCCACTGGGTGTGAGTGGGATAGCTCTTTTATCATACCCGCGACAGGAACTATTACTATTACTATAGTTCCTGTCAAGGGTTTGATAAAAGAGCTATCCCACTCACACCCAGTGGATAAGCGTTTTATTATACTGATGTATGATAAAATTTCTGAGGTTTGAATTTTTTTGGAGTAAGATAATACTGCAAGAATAATCTGAAAACCTGATGACTTCACAATGTTACTGAAGTCATTATGACATCATCATGTCTATAGATTTATCGCTGGAAATCAAAATTGGTGGCAAAAATTGCATGAAAATTTTCCGAGGGTGGATAGCAAAAACTATACCCCGGGGTATAGCTCAGCTAAGCGTGGACTATAAAAGATAGTTATTTTACCTTCTGAACTTTATCTAGGAAACATTTTAACAGAAGTATAATAAACCGGTATATCATCTCGAAATATGAAAAGTAACTGACTGAAATTGCATTTTAACAATTTCAAAATTGATAAACTTTCAACAATATATTTAAAGTTAAAAAAAAGGGCAGTAAAGGAATAATTCAAGCAACTGAGTTCAGTAGCTTTGTTTTTAAATTGATGTTAAAATTCAAGGAGAGACGATACGTTCCTCAATAATCATAGTGATTTCTTATATAAACTGATGAAACAGTTAGCCTATTGGTCCCAGTAAACTGATATGAAAATACTAAAGGATTTTTAATCAGTAGATTTTTGGCAATAAAATCTAATTTTGTCATTCTAGAAACATCTTTTAGCAGCAATAGAAATCGGAATAAAAAAAAGAAAGATTTTTTGATTTTTCACCCCACTTAAAGATTTTTTTTTTGTTTGAGAAGCAATGTGACCAATGTTAAGAATAGAGGAGACAGATCAATCTAAATCTTTCCTAAGTTTACATCAAGTGGAGATAGCACTAACTATTACTATTAATATCTTCTTTTTTGTGTTTTTCTTGATAAAGGTAAATCGGATCTCAACGAGGCGATTCCAACGAAATGCGTAATTCCCCCTTTTTTGTGTTTTGACCATTTTCGAACTTAGAACAATATCATTCTTAAGTGACGATGAGATTGATGTTTTCATCAGTTCCTTCTTATAGAATTCCGACCTGGAAACTTCTATATAATTGACGGAATGGTATTTATTTAGGTATTTCATTTGAAATTGACACTAGTTCAACATTGATTTTTGACTGAGATGAGTATTATAACATAGGTTTAATGGATACATTAAGTGATTTTTGTTCCACTGTTTGATATTCACTTGAGCAGGGTTTTGTTCTTCAATCTTATGCTATAATTGTTCCATTAAATAACGGAAAAGGATATATGTGCCATTATATAGGTGGTTTAAAACGGAACTGAACTGAAAGAATATTTGAATTTAAAACACGAAATTCCAATTTTTTTTAAAACAAAGATAAAAAAAAAAGAAAGTTTTTATTTACGCGCAGAATATCATAAACATTTTTAAATAAGTTGATTTACTTTAATAAGCCATCAGAAAAGCTAAACTTTGGACAGACTTAACAAAAGCAATAATATATTTAATAAATAAATTTTAAAAAACCGCTCAAAATATCAGGTCCTAATCAGACCAGTATCAAAAAGAGCTGTTTAAGTAGGATTAATTTACAATAGTCATAACGTTAATAATACTATTTTGTTAGTATACAGTATATATAGAAGCCTTAATTACGTTTCTCGAATGAGACATCAAACAACAAACGATCAATCAAACCATAATTCTAATTTTTGATTTGCACATTAGATTAAAGGACTATTACATACAGCTGAAAATGTCAAAATAGCATATATAACCCATTCAAGAGCGAACACAAAAGAGAAAAATCTCAGGTAGAAACTATTACTAATGTCCAGAACGTCATTCCACGTGATGTTCTTTACTGGGGGCTGCTCTTTCTGAGATGAATTTATACATTTGTTCTGCGTATCGGATTCTACAATGTTTTCTCCTTCTCGGCTAGAGCTTCTGTTTGTATTCCTTTTCTTCATCATAACACACAAAATAAAAACCACTTTACACAACGTGCTTGGAACTTGATCGTTTCTCTGAGATTTTTCGTATGCAATAATGGACAAAATTGTGCAAATGACTATAAACACACTGTTTTGCAGCTGTGCCATAACCATTATGTTGAATAGACTTATTGGTTCACTTATAGGAGGCAAGCGATCGGCAATCATGTTTAGAAAGAAAACCAACGTCAGCAAAATTGTTATTGAGAAAGACACGCGTTCTCCTGAAGAAACGGGTAAGGCGAAAACTAAAATATTTATGAGACCAAGACAGGGTATGGGCGACAGAATGTTCAGAACATAAAACCCAGGTCTCCTTTTAAAGTGTATTGTAATTTCTACCATGCTGTGATTTTCGGATATTTGAAAAACGGAATACTTTGTTGTGACATTGAGTACCTCCCAGTCCGTGTTTGAGAATGTTGGGAATCTATTATATAGCTCATAGACCGCCATTCTCACGTCTTCCATTGATTCCCAGCTTAACAATTGTAGTTGACAGGTATGCTTATCAAAAGGAAAATACAATATACTGGCTTCACATTTAGTTGTAGAAAGACCATTAAATGTATAAATAGCAAACCCATTATAGTGAAAATAGACTCGTTCATGTTCAGTATCACCTCTGTAAATAGTCATGTCCCCTGTCGCTGAGTTCTGAAGGAAAAAACGTGGTGTCCACACCGATGTAGGCAGTAAGTAGATTTTTTGAACATTAAATATGGAAACATTCCAGTGTATCTTCTCATCCATCCACCACAAGGATAAGAAACACATCGTCTTTAGAATACCAGACCTCTCATCAAACGAAACAATAGAGCTGAGCTTAAAGTCAACATAAACTGATAGAACTTCACTTTGGTTCTTCAAAGGACGAAGAGAAGATGAATAGTTGGTAAGAAGCTGTTGTTTAAAATAATATAACTCTTCGTACTCTACTGCACTGGTTCCCGAAAAATACGAAACACTGGAAAATAACAGTAACACAACAAACCACATTGATTTAACAGATAACATTTTGTGATATTGAAGCTGACAAATGTACACTATTCCTTTTATACTTGATTCATTAGATTAATTGCACTTGGATAGATTTAAAATCAATCGATATGAATGCGGCACAGAAGGATATGCAGCCTATGGTTTATAGCCTATGGACATATCAACCTTCTAATTTTACATTCGAAACAGTATAATAAAATACTTTTTTTAAGTTCGAAAATTCATCGAACATTGCAGATTGGAGCGAGCAAACACAGATAAAAATATTAAATAAAGTATCAGAGATGGGATCAGGTGTCACGGAGGCGAAAGCATCCCATGACGACCGTCACACCCGCCATGTACTCCTGTCCTTGTCATGATTGAGAAAATAACGGAAAAATCCGTAGACAATTCACTGTCTCATTAACGGCTTGTCTCAATAACGGCATCGCCCGCGTGGCGCAGTAATAAGAGCGTCTGCTCTAGAGTCACGAAGTAAGAAGTTTATCCTTACGTCGCGGGTTCAAATGCCACTGTGGGACGTTGAGACCGAGACCGTATAAACCGAGGTCCAGTGTTGCAGTAGGTGCTGGCACGAAAAAGATCCCTCCCTGTTCAATGGCCCTAAGTGCCGAGTATAGGACAAAATTTGTAGCTCTCCACAGGCAAGTGGTGGCGTCTCCATATAAGTAAAAAAATTTTGAGAGTGACGTTAAATAACATACAATCAATCAATAACGGCCTAACAATAACTCATGTGTAGTATGAAAAACATCAGTCATCAACTCAGCATTTGACTTAATGATAAGTGGTATTTGCTGACATGTTCGTTGTATCGACGATAGAACTTGCTTGTTGATGGTTTTAAGCAAGTTGTTATTCTTGTTTCATCAACTTGTTTGTTAATAGCTTGCCTTTTAGAAATTGTTGGTCTGTAGATCATAGTTTTGCGTATCGAATCAATTGGGAGACAAAAAAAAAACAAATGCAAATGTTTTCTTTTTCTCAAAGTTTTGAATAAATTCTGCTTGGTATGAATGCAAAAGAATCAAAGTACTAATATGCACAATCAGAATGTGTATAATAAAACAAATTTGAAAATTACTAATGGCAATGTATGCTAATTTACGAGTTCCAATTTATCAATGTTAAACAGCCATGACTTAAAATTGGTTGTACAAAGTGTTAGAATAAATGAAAATGATCAATGACAAGGTGAGTAAATTAAAGAGTTCCATTTTGATTGAAAAAGCAGCTATCAGTGATGCAAAAAAAAAACTGGACTTTAATTATCGTTGGAAATGGTTGTATATAAAATTGAAAAGTCTTCAGTTCTAAGTTGTTGATCTTGGTATAAATTGTGATTTTAAATTTTGCAAAAGTTCCTTGGAATATTTAAGTACTGTAGAAGTACTTTTTTCTGCGT